TTATTTATCGTTATTGATTATTGGTCGAAAACACAAATGAATTGTGAGAAGAAAAATAAGATCAGACAACTCCGAATCATCCTCTGCTTCTTCTTCAATGGCCGGCCATGTTATTGCAGCTATTTTCACAATTTTTGGGACCCACAGTTGGTCTGACAGGTTTTCATGCACTTGTAGGATATTAGATTCAAAACTGCTTCTGGTGCTGGTGACTGTAGCGTTAGTACTGGCTTGGTTTTTTCCAACCTCATTGCTCGGGATCTTTTGTGGTTCCGAGCCACTGTTGCACTTGAAATTATACTCTCAAAGAATGCTGTTATGCTGCAGCTTCCGTATATGGGCACCGAACATGAACAGAGACGTTTATGTTCGGTGGTATGGGGTAAGGATGCCAAATGGGCTGTTGTTCTATTTGCAGACCTAAGGTATAGCATTTATACCCCAATTCGTTCATGGACGTATCTTCCTTCTTGTTAATTTCATACACTTCAGTAAAAAAGGTGATGCCAGCATTGATAACAGTATCAGCATTTGCCGTAGGATCTTTGAAACTTTGAACAATTACGAATAAAGCAGGATTTTTCGATGGTTGGAGGAAATTGAATTTTTCCAACTTTGAACGAGGCCGAGGTTGTGTCACATCCTCCCATGGCATATAAGAACTGTATTATGCACCTATAGACATGCTCTGGTGCACAGTTAGTTGAAAATATGAGTTCCGAAACTGCTCCTCTACTTGGCTTCAAAAAGTATACATTCGAATGTACAACCAGACAACGACCAATCATGATCACCAACAATTCTACATCTTCACCCACAATAACTACAGAATTATGCTGTGGTGCGAGATTATTGCTGTGGTGACAATAAGTGTATCTGCGCCCTCTTGTGCCTAATTTGTGTGAATCCAGGCTGCCGAAAATTTGTTCTTCAATATTGAAATGAGACGGATTTTGTTCTTTATATTACCAAGGAATTTTTCTTGTGGCACTGTCGCGATCATTGTTTCGTCAAACACGATATCAACTGATATTTGTTTGCGTGATCTCCTTGTTCGCTCAGCATGTTCAGTACCATCTTGAAGGTAACCATCGAATACAACTGCAGCACTGTCTTTGTACTTGGACTCAACAAATGCAACATAACTTCCACAAATTGATGAACATCATTGACCCCTGGTCCACACCACCTCGTGGAGCAAATATCCTTCATCTAAGACGTACACACATCCTTGGAGATTTGTCTGTTCAGTTGGTGTAAATGCTTTGTACAAGGCAGACTTGGTTCCTTTTCTCATTCCATAGTCATCAAAAAGAGGCAACGAATACAGGCACAGTTCATATTTTGAGAACTTCTTCGAGTTCTTCGTCAGATTGTTTAGCAATTGTGATTCTTTGAAAAATAGTCGTGAGATTAATCGGAACGGTTTCATTACTCATTTTGAATTCCATTGGGAATGCACCAGTTCCTTCGCGAGTTGGAAGCTGAAACCATTTGAAACATGATTTTTTGTGCTTTTTTGTATTTTATGATCACCAGCATCAGAAGCAGTTTTCAATCTAATATCCTACAAGTGCATGATATGAAACTATTTTCAAAAATTGATAACTTGGAAGATGCTATGAAGTTGCAAGAAGATTTAGATAATGTCTTTCAATGGTCGCATACAAATCATTTACCTTTCAATGTCCAAAAATGTAAAGTAATTACATTTAGCTACAAAAAACAAACCATTGAATTCAACTATAAGATGAACACAATTGATTTAGTTTCAGAACATTCTGTGAAAGACTTGGGCATCATTTTTGACCAAAAATTATCATTCAGTGACCATATAACAAGTATAACACGAACATCCTATAGAAATCTTGGCTTAGTTATTCGAAATTCCAGAAAATTCAAGTCAGAAAAAACGCTCAAAGTTCTTTACAACAGTTTTGTTCGGGCAAAATTAGACTATTGCAGTATAGTTTGGTCTCCTTTATATACGAAGTATATACAAATGCTTGAAACAGTTCAGAAAAAGTTCATTAGACAAGCAGATTTTATTATACAAAGTGTCCATATATCAAATTATCCCTCAAATCTCAATAAATATAATTTAATGTCCTTATTCAATAGAAGATGCTTGAAATGCTTGAAACAGTTCAGAAAAAGTTCATTAGACAAGCAGATTTTATTATACAAAGTGTCCATATATCAAATTATCCCTCAAATCTCAATAAATATAATTTAATGTCCTTATTCAATAGAAGAGTGTACTTCACCCTGATGTATCTATACAAAATATACAACAATATGGCGCAAGACTGTACTACTCTTCCATCTGTAAAGTTACAAATTCCAAACTCAAGAACTCGGGCAAGTAATAACAAAACATTTGCAGTGACTACATCTCGGACGAATTACCAACTGAAATCTCCACATGTAAATATGGCTATATTCTATAACGAAAATCAAACGTACTGTGACATATTTCGAGATAGTGTAATCACATTCAGAAATCAAATGAAAAATAAATTATCACAAAATAGTGAAACTGTACTAATTCAGTAATTATTCTTATCTGGTTAATACTTTGTATATATTATTAGATTTTAGTTAGATTTTAGTCAGGTTGTTTGGACTAGTACTGTATTTTTTGGAAAAACAGTATCATTACTGTGATTGATGCAGAAAATGAAGTACTATTTCAATCAACCATTCATACACACACAACATGTAATTGGGGTAAAACCTGTTTGTTGAAATAAATAAATAAATAAATAAATAAAACCTGCCAGACCAACTGTGTGTCCCAAAAATTGTGAAAATTGCTGCAATAACATGGCTATCCATTGAAGAAGAAGCAGAGGATGATTCGGAGTTTTCTGTTCCTCTGGAAGGTAACTACATGAATACGTGTTATCGACCAATTGAATAATCAATAACGATAAATAAGTCGAGTACGTATAAAAATGTCGAAGAAATCCTCAATAGGTATTGCTTTTATATCTAATTGATATATTGTTGAAATTATTGAATTAAGTCAATGATTATTTGTAACAGGCGTAGAAGAACTTGAAAGCTGCCCTGGAGGAGCCACGGAGTCTGTGTCTAGGAGGAGAATTTCATTTGACAGTGATATGTTTATCTATTTGAAATGAAAACTATGAATTAGTTGAATTTTTTATTCTTTACCAAGAATCACTGATTCCACTAAAACTTCAACACTCTTTTGCATGGAAACCAAATGACATACCAAAAAGTATCATGAGACATAAATTGTAGATAATTTCTCCCTCTTGATTTTACTACCCGTTAATTTTTTATGTAAACGGCTTCCTTTGCGAGTTGAAAGCTGTATACTATTGAAAAACATAATTTTGTTTGCTCTTTTGGTATTTTCTGATATTTGCCGATGGAATTCTTGGTGGACAACTCAAGATTCGTGTTGAGCACATCAAAGAGCATACTATAAACCACTGAAATCAATTACACCTGAACTTTCCACTTCAAGCTGTTTTTGTGCACCATTTGATCGAACTAAAGTTATTTAAACCAGTTTTCATGATAGGGAAGTTGTTCGGTAACAACAGAATGCAGGCATCATTCACAGTCAGCATCCGAACATAACACACTACACTTGTTTCTTTTGCCAATATCGAAATGTTGATCTTCCAACCTCAAAGATTGAATATTTTTCGAGGTATCTGGTGTATATTTTTTTTCTGATATTCATAGCAAAAAATCACCTCTATGTATCGCTATGTATATGAAAGAAGTTGACAGTTTTTCCAAAGTAGTTTGACATAATCTCCTTCCAATTTCATTTACTTATAAAAATCTGAGATTCTGCGCCGTACACCCCAAGAGTTCCTTCTGCAACATGATAGAACACGTATTCTCAAGGTTTTGGTATTTGAGGCGTTTCAGTTTCTCGCAGAAGAACCGGACTTTGCGATGTTCCTGCTGAATGGGCAGCTGCCAAAGTATCAGCCCAAGAAATAAGAAACATGACATCAGGACGTTTTCCATCATCACGACTAGTATCAAGAGGTTCCAAAATAGCCGGGACATCTGCTGATACTAATGCACGTTTTGATATCGTTCACTTGATGATGTCTTGAATAAATGAATTAGAGGATGCGATTTGGGAGAGTGAGGTTGGGGTTGTAGAAAAGGGTGAGGTTTCATAGGTTTGATGGAAAAGAGGTGTTACTTTTTGATTCGTCTTTCAACCTTTTGAAATTACCGAGATATCACTTCTTGAGGAAAGTCTAGGACACTCTGTAGATCTCTCATACCACAAAAGATATGAACACTCGGATATTATATCGATATCGATATTATATATTGAAAACAATGATATGTTTTGTAATGAAAACCGTACGCTGAAATTGACACCACCCAATTCCAAAGTCGGCTATCTCCTGAATCCAGTGAATAGGCGTGTACGTACACCTTAGTAGAACTCTTATCTCAAATCATGTTTATAATGATCCTTTTATACATAAATAATGATTGACGACATAATTCGATCGAAAAATTAACTGGAATGTTTTATTTTCGGACATAAATAATAGTGCCTTCTGAAAACGGACCCTCTTATTACGTAGTCAAAAGAAAATACCAAATGTCCTTACGAAGACTGAGGCAACTGATATATTAATTCTTTCAACTGTGATCTCGCGCTAATTCACTCTGTCAGAAATCATGTATCATTCATCTCTGTCTGGAATAGTCTTGTTTCAGTATTAGGGTTTTGACGTATCATCATCGCCTCGTTTCCAGAGGTCCGAAAAATCAGGGATTTCAATAATTTTTAATAAAACGTAGGGAGCTCACAGAAAGAAACGGTTTGCGGTGGTGAGCTAGTTTGGGTGAGTTCTATCGAATTATAAAATGAATTTTTTTTGTGATATAAGCCCATTGTTATACATATTCTAATTTGAACATAAACAAGAATGAGAAGAAGTATTTTCAGTGGCCGATTTTTTTAAGAACAGTTTATAAAGTGCTTACCTGTAGACAAGTGTTTCTAGAGTCAATCGAAATTGCGGAACATAAGCCATCAAGCTAGCATCTTTTGTAAATTTGGTATAACAACATAAATGATGTAAGAATCTTGTGCTAGACTGCATTGATTTGAATATGGAAACAACTTCATCAGGTTTGGAACGTAGCATCATTTCCAAAATTGGAATCCCATGAGATAAGAAAACTTTCAGAATACCAATGGACTTCTTCAAAAAACATGTTAGATTGGTTTTAGTTTCTTGAGCTTTTGCAATAGTCATCAGACCATGCATTGAGAGAGATGTGGTGCTCCACAACTCTAAATGTTGAGCATTGGAGAGCGACTGAACTTCAGTTTTTATCCTAAAAAATAAAATAAAAAAATAAATGAATTCAGACGTTAGGATAGACTTGGTAGTTGCACGATTTACCTCCTTATGAATAATGTATTCTGTAAAATGATAACTCACCTGTTTAGTAATGCAGAACATAGACCATTATAAAAAACGTGGAAATTCTGTTTATTTATGCTTGGCAACATCATCAAACTATCATCTTTGGCATTTAGAGATTTTACTTGGTCCTGAAGAGTTCCAATCAGACCAGCTATAGTTTTCGAACTAGCACTACTCAGATAAACTTTTATCAAAATATCAATATTTAGAATACTACTTCTTCCAGAATCCAGCACACCTTTAGAGTTGTACCAGTGCTTGGAGAGCAGTTTACCAGATATCGATACTATCTTTTTTTGAACATCATTGTCAGGAGTGGTTAGTGAATATAAAGACTGCATAGTTTTCATGAGATGGACTCCCTGGGATAATTCAAGACACTGACTGCTATAACCTGAGAGGCGTGAAATGAATTCAGTGATCAATTTGTTCGCCGAATTAAGTGTTTGAGATTGATCAGTAGATTTCATACTTTTCAGAAGCAGTTTCAATACCTGTAATAGTGAAATGAATCAATGTTTCATTATGAAATGAAACAGATAATGTATTAGGTACCTCTAAATTAGTGGAATTATGAAATCCTGTCCAGCCAAATATAAGATGGAAAGCTTCCAGAATCAGGCCAAAACAAGTTTTTTCATTCAGAGCCTCTGTGGTAAACATTTCAGGTGCATCTAATATGCCATCACTATCCTCTAACAACTTATTTATCTTTATAACAATGGCCTAAAAATGTTTGGATAATATTATTACATAATATGTACAATAATTTGCCAACTAATTTACCTTGATATGCATATCCAGGTGAGGTAATATATGAACAGAAGCATCCTTGATAAGATGCAAAGGAATAACTTCATTCAAATGGGAAAGTCCAACATCTTTATTCTGGGTGCACACGAATAATTTCGAAACCAAATCTTTAAGCAGAAAGTTCAGATGTTCGATTTTCAACGTGGCCGATTGTGTAGTTATCTGAGTGCAGTCATCGGAAGTTCTCAAGGGATACTGTAAATGAATATGATTAGTAGTATTAGTAGTTATATGCTTGCTTTGATTGAAATGATGAAGGAGCGTATATATATATATAAATAAGTAAAACCAATGAATATGATTTTGTGAATACCTATGGTTCGAATCAAGTTTCGGACATTTATAAGTATGATTGTGCATATGATTATTCGCTTTTTTCAAATTGTTCATATTCTTAGATTACTTATTTATTTTTCACCTATATCACTTATGAACCAATTCAGTTCAGAAAAGAGGTGTTTTTCAAAGAGAATTAATTGTTTCATTATTTGATTTTTTTCACATAATTGGAATCACGTCATATGCTTGGATATGTGATTTTCAAGAAAAGGGTGACAATTTCGTTCACCTTGTTTTTTGAATCTATCATCAGCTCACTTTTTAGGCAATGTCCACATGCTGTGTATGCACATGCATTGGGAAATATGAATGAATCTTTCTGATTCATTATACAGATACCTACTTACAAATAATTTAAAATATACGAAACGTATACATTGTAGCCCATTGAAATTATGAACCCAATTTCACCGAGCCAGATATTACACCTGTCCCAAACTGCTCCAATAACTTCTCAATAAATTTTATATCAAGGGAACAGATCTTGAATGCTATCGATCGGTTAGACAGAAACAAGGGTCCTGGACCTGATAAAATTCCCGCACTTTTTCTTAAATCCTGTAGGAATGCCATTTCAACTTCTCTTCAACTGATTTTCAATAATTGCTTGAAACAAAGTACTTTCCCAAAAAAATGGAAAATCGCTCAAATTGTACCTGTGCATAAGGCTGGTTGTAAAAATGACGTGAAAAATTACAGACCCATCTCTTTATTGTTATGTCACTTTGGTAAAATATTTGAATCTGTATTGACTAAGGAATTATTTTTCCTTGTTAAATGTAGTCTCAATGCACATCAGCATGGATTTTATGGCAATAGATCAGTGCTAACTAACCTTTTGCCTTATGTACAAGAGATCTACAATGGAATGAGCGAAGGAGTTTCAACCTGTTCAGTGTACACTGATTTTTCTAAGGCTTTTGACAAAGTTCATCATCCAACTCTTGTCATAAAGCTCGAAAACCTTGGTGTGCATGGAAGCTTGTTGGGACTCCTGACCTCATACCTGAAAGATCGTTGTCAGTTTGTGGTCGTCAATGGAGTTCAATCATCCATTGAACTAGTTTCTTCTGGGGTACCGCAAGGGTCACACTTGGGACCTCTACTTTTTAATATATTCCTCAACGATATTGATGCATGTTTTCAACACACTAATATTCTATTGTACGCCGATGATATGAAAATCTTTAAGAAAATAAAAAATGCCAGTGACTACAATGATTTTCAAATCGATCTTGATAATTTCACGGACTACTGCAGAAAAAACAAACTCTTCTTGAACCTCGAAAAATGTCAACAAATATTATTCACGAGAGCACGCGACCCTATCCTCAGAAATCTTTCGTTATCAGGGCAAAATCTCAATGTCGTAAACAAAATCAAAGACCTTGGAATCATTTTAGACTATAAGCTTCACTTCGATGTGCATATTGAAAATGCTATACAAAGAGCACAACGAAACTTGGGTTTCATTCTGAGGGCCACACAATCTTTTGAAAAATCAGAATCGATAATAATTTTATACAACTCGATAGTTAAATCAATTTTGGAATATGCCTCGACAATTTGGAACCCAATTTATGGTACTTATGTAGACAGGATCGAAAATATTCAACGGAAATTGATCAACAAACTAAACTACAAGTTCAATAGAAATCGGCACAACTTTTCGTATGAAAGCAATTTAAAATTTTATAAACTTCAACATTTACGTCAGAGAAGAGAGTTTTCCGATGTTTGTCTGATATACAAACTATACAATAACCTTATCGATTCCAGATACTGTCTTCACTATGTATCCATAAATTGTTCTCCTTATATCATTAGAAATAGAAGTCTCCTTTTGACTCCTGAAAGTAGAACAAATTACGTTCTGAATTCTCCTGTACACAGATGTGTTAAATCTTGTAACTCAGCTCTGAGTGATAATAGAAATAGTAATATTGATATTTTCTCGCAAAACCTTAGTCAATTCAAGAGATGTCTGAAAAAAATTATTTATTCATAAGTTCATGAAAAAACTTATATGTTCCTTATTGATTACACCTCCATTGTTTCAATATATACTACTATGTCTTCTCGTCATTCCATGTACATATGATTTGAAATATTTTGAGAATCATTTTTGTTCCTTATATAGACATTTGATTATTTTTTCCACTTTCTTTCTTTTCTTAAGCCACGACAACTTGTAACTATTGTTTATTTTTGTAATCTGTGCTACTCTATTATTGGGTTTCTGACCTGTTGAGTGGCCTTAACTTGAATAAATAAATAAATAAATAAATAAATTCAAGTGAGTATATATTCAAGACTATCGCTATACGACTATAGTACCTGGTGCATAATACTTCACTTTCCACAACTGACGGAAGATTTGAAACGTCCTACTTTACGTAACCCGTTGTTCAAAATGGAATATTTCATAACTGGTGATGTTGTCATAGGCGATATTCTGTCTTATGAAGAAAACCTGAATAAAACTGGCAAGCAAAATATTGGACCCAAAAAATTCTCGAAACAATTCATTGAAATTATCAATATGATCAATTTGGGGAACTTTATTTAGGCAAAAAGAAATATTTCACGTTACATGTTGGAAAACGCAATTTTCTGTAAAACTAAGCGTTTTTTAAATATCTAGTATTACTTTCTAGTGCGGTAAATAGGTAGTTTACGGCAGTAGTGCTTTTCAAAATGTAGCGTTTATACCACTAAATCGTCAACGACTACTAATATTCAATGTGAAACATAACGACACGATCGCCAAGCCGAGTAAAAGTGGTAAAATATAATTATTGTAGAGATTCAAATGAGCCAACTAAGTAAGTATGTCAAATAATTCAATAGACAACACTGATGTTAAAATTCCCCTTTGGTTTCAGTGAGCCAGCAGAATAATATTGTGATATAAACTTTTTCAATGGTCTATGAGGATTGAGGGTACCTATTTATATAGCAGATCATGAAATGGTTTTTCACAGAATTTTGGTTGAATATGACAGGTGAAGTTGATGATAGAGGAAAATATCAAAACGAGAACGTACTTATGGTACTTGTGAGATCAATGAGGAAAACGTTCATTCATATTTATGTTTATGCCACATATTCCCTCAATACATAATGGGTTGAGTTGAAAACAGCATTTTGTTGATACTCTGTAGCAGATAGGTATAGGGTTATATAAAACATTTTATTTCACATTTTTTTGTATAATCATTTTCTGAAAATCATTAATGAGAAAGATGATATTTACTTATTATTATAATTATTATTACTATTATTTGAATTTATATCATTCCAGTCACAACCCTGCGGCCTCCGACGCCACGCAGAGTCGTGCTGGAGAAAATACAGTGACTACTCCCCACAGACTGTGGGGTGAATAATCACTTGGACCAAGAACCGTGTGCCCTGAGTAAACGCAATGATCCAAATATGACGGCCTTCTGCATTCCACCAGCCAGGATGTGTGCCTTATCGCTGCACGCTGGGATTTTCTGGATTTCCGAGAGCAGCGTATGTTGTGTGCCTCCTAGGGAGCCGATTATCAGGATGACCAATTCCACAGAATGTTCTGGATAGAGCCTGCGGAGTTCGAAGAGAAGATCTCGATATTTAGTCCGTTTCTCCTCCTCCTTCAAAGCGATGTTCGGTTCGGCTGGCGCCGAAAACTCGATCACGAACATCGCTTTGGTTTGATGGTCGAGGAGTACTACATCAGGCTTGTTAGCTTGAATTTGCCTGAGGGTGGGGAATGAGAAGTTCCAATAAATTCGGCACCTCTCATTCTCCACAACGGACTCAATATCTCCCGGAGCATAGGGCAGCACTGGGGTCTCGTCTATTCCGTACGAGTGCCTCAAGTGATAATAGAGCACTCGCAACGCCGCATTGTGTCTATAGATATAGGCCGAGACTGCGTACACCGTGCAAGAAGACAGCAGGTGCATAATTGTCTCGGGCGCTTTGCGGCAGGCCCTGCAACTTGTGTCAGGGACCTCCATACCCATGACACGGCTACGATAGACGAGAGTGTTGAAAACCCCATCCTGGCATGCCATGATGAACCCCTCTGTTTCCGATTTGAACCCGCCTGACTTGAGAAAAGCAAGAGTCAGTTCTTTGGATAAGCCCCGGTCTTCAATGGTCTTGAAGTAGACCGAATGCATGGGCTTATCCATGTGAAGCTTGTAACATGAAAATTTGCCTTTTCGTGTTCCATAGTGTGAATTCTGCAAATAGGTAATGGGGAAGCTTTGTAGAGATGCACTGCGTAACTCAATGATTTCTTTTCTAGGTTTTGAGGTACTTAACATAATTCCATCTTGTTAAATGTTTTCATTTTCAATGTCCATGACTGGATGACTGGTAGGTTATTTTAGTCAACTTCTTAACCAATCTTACACATTTGTCAGATGCCCATTAATATTGTTGTTTACATCATAGTCTCTTGCCAGTAGAAGACTGTTTGTCGTGTTTAGTGGCAGTGGCCTGTAATGGTGCAGGGATATTCGCAATTCTGTATCAACTGGTGGATCGACTAATGTATCGACTATCATATCGGCTATCGTATCAACTATCGATATCATGATCGATATTTAATATTTATTTTAAGTTGCATCCCTGAATCTTACTTGAATCATATTATTTGGGTGGCTTTATTGACACTGCGCAGAGACGAAATTTGGGCTATATTATTTTTTTGAAATAGATCACAAGTGCTCGGATTAACGGAAACTTGTTGTTTGAGCAATTTCCGTTTCATCATCCTTCTTGGTGATTTCTTCTCTTGCGAAGAGGTTTCATGTGCTGAAGCCAAAATGAGTCCCTTTTTGATTTTGGCTCTCGTGCGA